ACCGCCTGGATTGGTCTTGGTGGATGCTTTGCTCCAGTCTGGTGAGGGGTCGGCAACCCCCCACTCGCGTCTGCCAGCGAGGCGTCAGTAAGGCGTCGAAATAAAGACAGTGCATCAGTTGTGCCGCGGCCAAGATACAATCCGCATTGCGATTTCCGCCATCGGCCCCCCACTCCGCCACGTTTGAGACTATGTTGGCTAACTAGACCCGTCTCTTGCAACCAACTGCAGAAAGAGATATTGGTCTGTAGTTCCCAGGCTGCGATGCGTCGACTGTCTTTAACACTGTAAGATGTCATGCTTTCTCCCTGTCAACAATCGTCGCAAAAGTCCAATGGAATTTCTACGGGATCGTCGCTTGACCACGGGACTTGCCACACATCGGGGGGTGCGCCATGATGGCCCGCGGCTTCCTGGGCCCGCAAAATGTTGACTGCCCAGCGCGCTTCCCCCAGAGCGATGCTTCCCGCGTTCGTATCACATGCGCCACCACTCTGCCGCAGTTTGCGCGGCGGCCGGGCCCCCTGATATAATCCGAGCACTTTCGTTCAGCGCTTCGCCCAAATCGCCCGCCATTGTTTCGGCCTTTTCATCGGCATCCACCGAAGCGCCAACAGAGTTTAGTCGACGCCCGCGCCGCGGAGCCCGGCTCTTCCGCGGGGGCCTGACCTCTTGCCGACAGCCATTTGAGAAGGCGTTATACAGCCATCGTTCTTCGTAGGCGCGCGCAGACGTTCGTTGGCTCTTGCGGCATTCTCCTGATCTGTCAATCCAGCAAAGACAACGCCGTTGAACGCGCCAACGGTCTGCGCGGTCCGGCCGATGATAAAAGCATGCGTTCGGCAACGACTTGGAACGTGCACTCGGCAACGTTCGACGCTCCCCTTTGCAGTGTGCTTGCACCCTGGCTTCCCCCACTTTGGCAATGCAGCTGGGAAGCGCGTTTCTGCCGCTGCTGCGTCTCGGGGATATGTCCAACCACATTCGGGCGTCCGCGGGGCCGCATGTCCATCGGGATAAAGATGCCCGCGTCGACAGTGCGCGCGAAGTGTTGCGACTGTAGAGCCTTGGACCTGCCGGCCCAGATCCGCCGCGCATTTGACGCCCATGTCTGGTCGACCGCGGCGCGGTCGAGCTGCCCAGAGTTCTTGCGTCGAGTGGCATTCATTGAGCGTGCACCAATATCAAATTTAACGACTTTTGACTCCGCCAGGATATCGAGAAACGCGCCGGCGATGCATGCGCCCGCCGCAGTCCATAACTCAACCTGCAAGTCTTCATTTTGCGTAGAACCCCCGCGATCTCTCATTGCATCCCCCCCGCAGCGAACCGCCCCAAAAGACGCGCGTTGAGATCGCCCATGAATGTTGCTGGGCCTCAAACTGGCATCTCGCGTAGATCCGCGGCAAATCGGCGAACGCGTCGCGCCGCAGATGGGGGCGTCACAGGTTTTGCGATGCATAATATGTGACCAAAGTAAAGATACCTCCTGTCATCCGCAAGCGTAAGCTAATTAATCGACTGATGCATTGCGCAAAACCTTGTCTCTGCTTGTCGGGCCCATGGTGGCGCGGCGAACCCCGCCCCAGCGCGCCCCCAATCGCCGCCTTAAGCCCCGAGTTAAATTACTGAGCGGCCTGCGACTTCAAGACGCTCAGACCCCAGGCAACGCGTCTCTGGGCGACAGAATGCCGGAAAGCCCACGTCGCGCATCGGCGCGATAAGTTCGCGCGCCTTACGCGGGCTGCCCTTGGGGGCGCCGTCGACGCTTCACGTGGACATGATGCCTAGTCCCCCAGTGCAAATGCGAATGGACTGCTGATGCACCACCGCGTTTCCCAATGGCCAACCGTGCCACTTCCACTCTTTCCCTTTCCGCCCCCATTCGCCGGGGCCAGCGTTAAAGCCTCGCCCACCCGATCCGCGACGCGCTTGACATCTGGACTGTCGGTCAGCTCCTTTCGCGCAAACCACGGTCCGCACCCGTGGCTTTGAAGACGGCGCGCCGCCGCTCGAGCAAGAACTACTGGTTCTGGGGCAATCGAGAACTTGGATTCGATTGCATCCACTATGGCCCCAGCGTCAACCATCCCAATCCGAATAAGAAGCTGTCAAAGACACGCGCTTCGATGGGGGCATCCGCGCGCGCCCAGATAGCACTGCCGCGGCGCATGATCACCCCTCCCCCCCCCTGCAAGTGTTTGCGAACTTGTCCCGAGCGTCAGCGCGTGGAATCAAAGCGCACAAGAACTGCGTTGTCAGCATCGCCCATAGCGTCACCGATGACCATCTTTTGGAGCCGCCCTGACCGCCAAAATAGCCGCCGAATTCCGAAAGATTCGCGAGGCAACTATTCATTAGTTGAAAGCCGGCTGTCCTGCGCGCGCAGGCCCGCCTGCAAAGCCCCCTGGCGAGCATCGATTGCGAACGGAACATCATCGCGGCCGTCGCCATCGTCGCCGCCAGAAGCATAAGAGAACACATGTTACAATCACCATCGCTCTGAAGGCGCGTCAGCCTGCGTCGCTGCACGCGACTCTGTGCCACAGCTGAGTGCTGCGGGCTCTCAGCAGCCTGCGTCGACAGCTGTCAGAAAATTATGTTGCCCCCATCGCACTTAAGGACCACGCCCCAGAAATAATTTCGAGCACCCAGACAAGTAGCGAAACAGTGTCGAACGAGTATCGCCTCCCAGAGCCCGACGCATGACAACCCCCCAGTTTCTTATGGTCCTCGAAATTCTCTCGTAATCAAAGCTAAAGTAAGTTGGAATATCATAAGTCCAAAGCAAAACTGCCGAAATGGTCCTTGAAGAAGCCGCCGCGAGGGCCGCCGAAAAGGGCCGCCGAAATCGTCGCCGAAGTTGCCGTCGTCGAAACCACCGCCGAAATCGCCGCAGAATTGCAGCAGAAATTACATCCGAACTTGCCGCCGAAATTGCAGCCGAAATACTTCCGAACTCCGCCAAAATAGCGGCCGAAATTCAGCCGCCGAAATCGCCGTCGAGATTCAACCGCCGAAATTGCCATTGCCCTGTCCCGAGCGAAATTGCTTATATTCAGCACGATGCCGCCGCAGACACAAGCATAGAGTCACGAGCAAAATCAAAATTGTTTCAATCAGCGGCACAAGCCGGAATGTCGGCGGCAATTTCGGCGGCGATGTCGGCGGCGATTTTGGCGGCAATTTCGGCGGCAATTTCGGCTTGCAACTTCGGCCTGCACTTTCGGCGGCCGTTTCGACGGCTCTTTCGGCGATGTCGGCGGCCCCTTCGACGGTTTTTTCGACGGCCCTTTCGGCGGCGTTGCTGTTGCCAACTGTCGACAATGGCTGCCGGGGGCCCTCGACACTCGGCGGCCTCGGCGGGACCGCCGCGCGGCAGGACGCGCTTGCAAATTGAAGCCATAAACAAAAACGCAATTTCGTTTGGAATGGGTTTCGGCGAGCGCCTCTTTTCGTATCCAAAGAAAGAGCCACTACGAATGATGCAATTGTCGAATTGAGCCGGTGTTTCCATCCGGTCGAAAAAAACATTAAAGAAAATTGTGGCCGCGACGATGTTTCCAATTTTTTTTCATCATCTGGCCATTGCGTTGCACTCCCGGTCCCTGTCGGAAGTAGGATCGGTAAACTGCTTCTCGAGATACGATATTGTCGTTCGATGTGTGATGTGAGACTCGCTGCTGCTGCGGAGGTTGTCGACAACGGTCGGTCGGGGCCCAATACCTCAAAATGTTCGATCCGTTCGGCGAACTGTTTCATTTCGAATTTGATGGGGTTCAACAAATTCTTCATAATTGTTCAACTCATCGTTGGAAATGCCGTGCGTTTTGATAGCCTCACATCTTTGTGGATTGGGTATAGGTGGAACGTAAGCTGGCTTTTGAACATGGTCTCGATGGCGGCCATGCTGACCTCCCCAGACAGAGTCTCTCCTCTGTGTCCTCCTTTACCTCCAGTGCTGGCCGCAGCCGCGAGAATATAGTCGTATTGGCCTTGGCGTTCAGAGCGGATGTCGTCTTCGTCGTCTTTCTTGCTGTTCAGCGGGTTTCGATGACGAGCCGTCTTCTGTTTACCTTGCGTTGTTGGCGGCGACTGCAAAGAGGGTGATGATCATGCAACTTCTCCTTGAACAAATGCCTCGGACCCGGCAACTGCGCGGAACCACCAGCTCTTGAAGAAGCCACCGATGCGGCGTCGAACATCCGAGTGAGAATCGAGAAGAGATGCGAAGTAGTGAGACAGCAGGTATGTTGAGTGAGCGGAGTAAGCAACTTTGGCTAAGCCATCCTGGCTACGCCCGCTCAAGCCACCCTGGCTATACATTGCACCCCGAAAAACTGCACCGGAGCAGGCGCGCAAATGCTACTCCAGGGGATGCGGGAAGCGTGAATAATGATTTGCGCCCCGCTTACTTTCGGGGGCTGGGAGGATGGCGTAAGCATCTTGGGTAGCCATGAGAACACTCGGAGTGACGTGACTAAGTGAGTTAACGCATTGGATAAGAAAACGGCGACGCGATGAACCAGCTGAAACCGTTGCAGGCTTTTGGGACCCCCCGTGTTGACTGGATGAAGAAAACGGTCCCATCGAGTAGAACTTACGAAAACGTTACGACGGACAGTTCAACGGAGCCGCGGCATTACAACAATCAGAGTGGGCCTGGGTAGCAGCAAAGGCGAGGGTGATGTTGATACCGCGCACCATGGTGTACGACGCGCAACCACCAAGTATACCGATCCGCCGCTGATATCGAACAGACTTACCGACGTGGTAGACAAGCCAATGTTTTCAAGCCCTTGGCTGCGGGCCTTTTTCTCGATGTCCACTGGCCCCAATGTATACGCATGAGGACATGCAGGGATAGGAAGGGCGGGACAGGCGGTGGGGGGGCAGGGAAGTGGAGAGATGGTAATGGATATAACAGGAGGGCAAGGCCGAGGATCATCTGGATGAAACGCATGACGAGGAGGAAGGGGTGCAATACAATAAGAACCTGGCCTCGTCCCACGCGGTCTGGAATGCGCACAGGAACGCGTTGATATGGCCGAACGTCTCTTCACAGGGCGGTGAATTGCCTGGCTTGCCACCGGCCCCGAAGTAGACCTGGCCCAGAGGGCTGCGGCCTGGCCTCATTTCCCCCACTGCGCGCTCGTTATTATGACAGCTTCTCCCCGCTTTCTCTCCTTGTCCTCCTCCTTCCCCCCATCCTCTACCAATTCCCCTCACTCTTCCCCTTCCCCCCCTCCCCCTATTCCTTCCCTCCTCCCTCTGCTGCTGCTCTTCCTCCTGCTTCATCACCCATTATTACTCAGTCACCTCCTCCCTACCCTGATATTTCGCTCCTCCTACACTGCCTCTGCTTCTCATGTCCTCACTCCTGGCGCGTCTCCTTCAATTGTGCCCATCACCCCCGCCCATCCCCTCTTCCGCGCTATGCAATCGCGTCTCCTGGAAACCACACATTCCCCTTTCTAATGCTGCTTCCGTGTCCTGCTCATACCCTGGCGCCTACTACATATGCGAGACATGCGGGTCCGACGGGCGACCGCGGCAAGGCAAACCGCCCCACCGCCCCGCAACACCACAATTCATGGAAACGGCACATCTGGCCTTTTTATTATTCCTCGTCTTCCTCTTCCTGCTCTTTCTCCCCCCTTTGTTCCTCTTTCGCCGCTGCGAATGTGAGAGTTGCGGGTCCGATGGACAGACACGACGAAAATATAGCCCCCCACGACCCACGACACGCCACCGAATCGGCCCCTCTCACGTGTAGGCGCATTCTGGTGGGGGGGTGGGGGCGGGGCCCAACATGAATATTGTAAGGCGGCGCCCCGCTGGACCCGCTTGGGGGGATGTGGCACTTGTGCGTTTGGCAACACCCAGGGGATGAACGGAGGGTCTGCAAGGGCCCGCGCGGGGCAGCAGCCCGACGGGCCCCCAAGGACGCAAGGAACTCGCGACAATCCTACGTTAGGCGGCGGCACTCGCGAGCTGATGGTGGAGGGGGGAAAAGGAGACGGAAAAGGATCAGGTGGGGGCGAAGCTTCATGCTGGAAGAAGGGAGAGAGGGAAGGAGCTTCGTTTGCTCAGGAGGGGGGGGGGGGGGGGGGGCAACTCTCGTCTGGATCTGCGTTCTGCTGGACCCCTCTTGGGGGTGCTGGAAGCGCGGCGACGGCCGCACCCTGGGCAACACCTGGAAAAACTAAGAACCCACGTGGATCCGCGCCGAAACGGCACCCCGCTGGCGGCATCCTGAAATATGGCAGCAGCCGTGGCGGGACTTGCGTGGGACCGCGCTCATGCTGAGGCTGCGTGGGACCTGCGTGGGACCTGCGTGGGGGGCGAGGTTTCATGCTGGACCTGCGTGGGACCGCGCTCCGCCCATCCCCAGAGGCGCTCAGGGAAGCAGCGGCAACCCCACACACCCGCGGCCGCTCCCTCAGGGGCGAGGCACACCTGATTCCCCGCAAGACCACACTCCGATGGGCGCAAAAAACAACCAGAGCAACTGCAATCGGTAACTATTGCTCAGCGCGTCGCGGGGGCGGCCCCGACGACACCGTATTCAATGCGAGCAGATGCCGTGTCGCTTCGCTCCGCAGATCGGCAGGCTCGAACAGGCTCGGGGCGCTAATCGTTGGAAACGGGGATGTGGCTAGCGTGTCGCGCCGAGGCGTGGTGGTGGGCCAGGACCGGCTGCGCGACACGCTGAGCAAACATTCCTGGCCTTACGAAGTGAGGCAGCACCGTTGGAATTCTGCAAGTTTTTCCATAGGAAGAGATCTGCCAGGGCTCGCGCGGGGCCTGCGTGCGAGGATGGCCCGCAGACAATATGCGGACCTTCTGGGATTGGGGACGTTCCCTGACAAATCGATCGGCCCTCCACCGAGCAGGGGGAGGGAGGATGGCGAGTAACGAGTGGTCGGGAAAGGGGGGGGGGGATCTGCGGCACCGCTGGGCGCAGACGAGCGCAGGCAAGGACGCGCCTGCTCTGGCAGCGCTCGGGCCGCGCCCGGCGACGGTCGGACGCGAGCAGAGAACAGTAGCCTGAGACGAGGGCTCAAAAAACACGCCACGCGCGAGGGTGGGAGGGACTCGGAGCGCCAAACTGAAGGGCCTAAACGGCAGTGGAACGTGCGGCCTCTCTCTCTCTCTCTCTCTCTCTCTCTCTCTCTCTCTCTCTTTTTTTTCTCTCTCTCTCTCTCTCTCTCTCTCTCTCTCTCTCTCTATCTCTCTCTCTCTCTCTCTCTCTCTCTCTCTCTCTCTCTCTCTCTCCCCCTCTCGGCAATCGGCATCCCCCGACGAAGTAGAGAACGTGCCTGCTGCCGCCGCTGCCGAGGCCAGGGGGCTTCTTCTTCTGCGGCGCCGCTGGGCGCAGACGAGCTTAGGCAAGGACGCGCCCGCTCTGACAACGATCGGGCCGCGCCCGGCGACAGCCGGACGCGAGCGGAGAACATCAGCCCGACACGAGGGCTCAAAAAAACACGCAACCTTGCCATAGTATCCAGTTGGCCCTCTCGACTTAACTACTGCAGGGAGAAGCATTTGCACCTGTCGTTATACACTGAACTTGCAGACCTGAGGCGTCGTCTGGCCAGCAGATGGAGGGGCAAACAAGGGGTTCCGCCGACCAATTTTCACGCGCCCGTGCGCTCGGTCGAAAGCAGACGCCAAGGCACGGCAAAAGCGAGGGGGACATCGCTCCGCGGACTTCGTCTTAAAGCCACCGGAGCTTGCCAGACCATGAATTGACGCGCGAGGCTTGCCAGATCGACTACACAGTCTGCCCTGACACCTGCAGGCCACATGAGACAACTCAAGGCGATCTCCGAGAAGGCCCGCGGGCTTTTTCCACGGCGTCCCCCACCGGCACGCCGGAGCAGATCCGTGACTACATACGATGAGGAAGCCCAGCTTTGAGCTTCCAACAGGCGCGGTAGGAGCCAGAGCCGAGAGCGAGCAGGGTTCTCAATACCGACAGGCAGGCTCAAAACATGTATTAGCTCGAGGACGCCACAGCAGAACGCGGCGAGAAGATTCCCGAGCCTCACAGCCTCCAGATCACTTGGGTGTCGGAGCTCCGACACCCCCATCAGGTCCTGATCGCTGCGGAGGCGTGGCGGCAAGCACGGCTGGGGGTTGTCGGGATCACGGAGCGGCCCGGCATCGCGGGCCCGGGTCCAGGTCGGACACGGCGCGCCCACGAACACGCCCCGCACCAGACCTGCCAGGATCCAGCCGCGCACGAGCTTCTGATTTGCTCGAGCCGCCAAATCCCACTGTGGCCCCCGGGAACGGCCCCGCTCGAGCACGACGAATCCTCTCGCCCGCAGCGCCTTAGAGAGGCCCCCGTGACCGCTGGACAACTCTACTAACACCTGCGGTTGGACGAGGCGGGCGCCCCTGGAGGTCAGGGCGCGAGCGAAGGCCTCGCGAGGGCCCGCGGCAGTGCCAGCACGGCGCTGATCGCCCGTGCCCGCGCGGCCGCCGGCAACCGCTGCAGCTGCTCCCCCGCGCGCCCTTCCGTCTGGTATCTTCGACGACTGGAGTCGCAATGCCACCTCCCGCGCAGCTTGACCTCCTGCAACGCGCGGAGCTGACGCGCCCAGTCGTGGCTCGGCCCGCTGTGCCGCAGCATGTGCAGCTCCGGCCCGACCGAGGTGCCCCACCCCGGCGCGGGCCGCGGCCGGCCCGAAGTTCTGCGCGAGGTCCGCGCGCGCGAGGGCGAAGACGGGCTGGCCTGGAGGCGTCGCCCTGCGGAGGTCGGCGAGCGCGTCATTGAGGAGGCTGAAGTCGGGCAGGTCGAACACCGCTGTCTCGTCGGACTCTCTCGTCCTGCTGCTGACCTCCTCATCGGACGGGCGCGGGGCGATCGCCAGTTCGTCACCTGGGCGCCGGGCGTCGGCGGGATGATCATCCCCCTCGCGACCCGGCCCAGCTTGCTGGGCCTAAGCAACGCGACGACCGCCCACGCTGCCATCGCCCAGATGCCGGCGCCCAACAACTCCAGGGCCAGCAGCGCGGCGCCCTCCCGCGGCAGCGGCAGTCGGGCCCGCCCGGGGGCAAGCCGCTTCCAGCCCTTCAGGGCCTGCGCCGCGCGGGGCAGCGAGAGGCTGCCCGCCCGCGCAAACTGGGGCCAGAAGAACTTGACCGCCGCCATGGCCTTGGCGCCGCGCTGCGACAGCCCCCCGCTCAGGCGCTCCCGGTCCACCCAGGCAGTGAGCAGGTTGTCGACCTCGTCGTCGCGTGGTAGGCGCCACCCGATGTGGGCGGGCAGCGCGGCCACCCACGCCCTGAGGAGGTCCTGCCACAGCGCGTCGCACTGCGCCGCCGTCTTCGGGGTGACCGAGGCTCCTTGCAGCAGCGTCGCCCCAGCGGCCAGCGTGGCCGCCCGCGCCTGCCCGCGCGCCGCCCTGGCTGCCTTGCGACGGAGCGGAGCCCGGGCTTGCCGCCGATCCTCCACCGCCGCCGCGCTCACGCGCCGCGGCCGGCGGACTGCCGGCCTCGGCCGGGCGGGCCCGTCCGCCGGCTGCTTGCCGCGCAACCGTCGGCAAGCGGCGAGCGCCGCGGGGGGGGGGGGGGGGGCGGCGGCGGCCCGCGCGGACAGCGAGTTAGTCGAACTCCGAGGCGGCCCCGGCGCCGTCGGCCTGCTGGCCGCGGCGGCCCCCGTCGCGGCCGCCCCAGCACTCGACGTCCTCGGCAGCGCCGCCGGCGGACCAGTCAAGCCACGCTCCAGGGGGGATGCGGCGGCGCGACGGCGCATCTGCGACGTTCCTCTCTGAGGGGATCCAGCGGACAGCGGGCTGCGCCGCCCCGGCCAGGCGCCGCGCGGCCCGTTGGCGGGCGACGCGAAGGACCGCCCTGGCGGAGGAGCGACCCTTCTGCAACGCACACACGAGCCCCATGTTGTCGGACAGGAAGAGCAGGCGACGACCGAAGGACATCGAATCCCGAAGCGCGTGCCGAAGCGAGCGAACGATGGCACGACCCTCCAAGACGATGATCTTCTCAGGCCGGGCCCATCCTCCGCTCGATGCCACCTGCCACCTGCCCCCGTGCAGCTCACTACCCACGTCCGGCACCTTTCACCTCTCGCCCTCCGC